CGTGCATGTATGTATAGTGGCATATGCAATTATAGAATCATGCCATATCTTTAACAATAGCACATATATAATGATGATCACGCCATATGTAGAATAAAGAGATTATCAGAAGATGATAAGGTCATATAGAAGACAAAGCATAGTATGATTAAAATGATAACAAGGTCATCGAAGGTTATCTCGATAACATTGAGTCCTATTAAAGGTCTAAAACGAAACAAAACTAGCTAGAAGAATATCATTTTCGAAAATCTTCACTAAGACTTCATTTTATTGCTCAACTACAAACTAATTAAATTTCCAAATTTTTTAATGTTCCTGGATCGTTTCTGTCAAATAATAAAAATCGCAGATCTCTATAAGGTTCTTATCAAAAGTTATTCATAAAATAGTAGAGCATATTACATTTTGAAATGAATAATTGCTCATAAATAATAATGAGAGAGTCTTTGATCATATATCAACAACATCGGTCATGGTCTGTTACAGTTTCTGAATAGTGTCTTTCATAATCTTTGTTTTACGTCTGTAATGGTCTCTGTCATAATCGATATGGGAGCAAATTGCAAATAACTATTCTAAACAATTCTTTTAGATCGTATTTCAGAAAATGATCAAAGGTTAATATCATATATATATATATATATAAACTCGTGCAAGTTAATTAAAAATTAAACATGCAAACAAAGATATAAAAATTTGATAGTCGATTTTATTTTTATAGTATGATCACATGATTCAATTATAAAGCGAGAATAATTTTTTAATCAATGTTCAATATTTTTTGAATTAAATAATTTCTTATTCCGTTTGATTCGATAATCCTTGATTTAGATTAAATCAACTGAACCATTCCGTCATCATATATTCATCATATGTATAAAAAAAAAAAGAAAAAAGAAGAAATACACACGAGAACTAGTAGAATCAATCACTTGTCTGCAAAAAAGAAACAAAAGAGAAAAAAGAAAACAAAAGTCGTGCAAGACTGTTCAGTTAGAATAAATAAAAAAAACAAACAAACAACAGCTCTTATTTTTTTCTAAACACATTGACATACAAATCTTCGACTAATGTTAAGAAAAAAAATAAGAGTTCGAGCAAAAAATGAAGGAATAAAAGAAGAAGGTAAATCTTGAATGTTAATATCGAGGAAAAAAGTATGACAAGTTCATATTTATTAACATATTAGAAAAAAAAAAAACAGAATTTAAGCAGTCTTTGCATGTCCAAGTACAGAACGCATTGCAGATTGTAAACATTTTGAATAGGCTGGTTGAAATGCCTTTAACAAAACAAAATTAATTTTAATATTATTTTTATTTAACTTACATTATTCCAAATAACATCAGCAAAATAATCAATATATTCACCAATTTCAGAATATTCACCTGAATATTTTGTATATAACCATACAAATAATAGAACAAAACAAACCCAAAAAGTAAACATAAATATAAAAGTTATACTACCAAGCCATAATGTATCAAGTATACCAGCTATAAAATAACATAAAATCATTGATGATATAAATGTTGTTGGTGTACGACTAAATGCAAAAACATTTTTCGAATCATTATGTTTTTTATAATTAGCTAGAAAGAATAAACAAAAAAAAAACAATATTATTCGAATATTTTTCTATAATAATTTTTGTCGAATTTACTATAAAGTTCAAGAATTTCATTTTCTAAATCTTGTTGATAAGTTAAGGACATTTCTTCACCACCCATTTTACGTGCACAACGAAATTTTTCAATTGCTTGTCGACGAACTTCTTTATGAAGAACATCTAATTGATTTGGATGAATATATGGTCGATCACCACCGCAATGCTTTAATTAAATGTAAGAAAATTTTATTTCTTTTTTTTTGAATTGAATAGAATTTATTTTCTACCTGTTCCATTGCACGAATATAAAATTCTTTTGATGTTGATTTAGCAGCTAAATTATTAGCTTCAGCTGTTGCCTAAAACAATACCAAGAAATAAAAGTTTTTATTCAATACTATGTATTCTAAAACTGATATAAGTCGAGACTATGGAAATACGGAATCAACTTGTTTTGATTTCAATATAAGAATATCAAATTTATTGATGTATATAAGCTAAGTTAAATATATCGTCTTATCATAGCTGTATAAGAAGAACGACAAGATCTGAAACCTTGACCTTAAACGTTAGCAATCCGAGCTCTCATTTTTATGTACATAGTTTCAACTCAAAAGTGATTCAGCAATTGGAGAGGCTTCCTTTTCATTATAGTTAAGTCAATATCAATAGTACAAATTTTTCAACTTTGTTTCTTCTTAATCCATATTTTAGGTCTACAATGATATATTGATGTTTGCTATTCTTATCAGACATTCTACAAGTTGAGATATCAGTAGATAAAGTTAATAGATACATTTTTGAAAAATAATTAATTAAATATTAAACATATAATTAAAATAAAAAGAACCTTGTCAATGGTATAATTCTTATGACAAATTGACAACAAGAATGATTTCAATTCTTTATTTGTCAAAAATTTTTGTGTAAGATTATAAATAATATTCAAACTAATTGTTGATTCTTTTTGACAAGGTATTATATAAGCATGCCTATTCGGTAAATAACAATTCATTGTAATAAATGAAAACAAAAAAAATGAATATCGATTATTATACTATGGCGCATAGTTTTTTTTTTTTCTATTACAAAATATATGTACATACTTCAAGCATAGCTTTGGGTGATGGTAATTCTCCTGAAGCGAATACAGCACAGTAAGTCTAAAAAAGAAAATAAACAATTATATATTTTAAAAGATACTATATATACAGTTTTCCTATTTTTTGATCTTTATATGTATATTCGCTTAGTTGTCATTTTTCTCATCACGATTTGTTAAATTTAGTTTATGCTATTGCAAAAATCATAAACACAAAATTAAACAATTTTCTCTCGTAAATCAAATATTTTTGTAAATTACATCAGAAGTTTTATCTTGAGTATGTTTTTGAAATTATAAAAAAACAAAAAACGAACAAATTAGAAGATAAGAATATCGGAATAGAAGATTTTGCATATGTTACCTCAGCAGTGTCACATATCCAAGATTTTGGAGATGCCATCACGTCTCCCGCGGGAGATGCCGCGTCTCCAGCGAGAGATGCGGCATCTCCAAAATCTTGGATATGTGACACTACTCTTGTTTTCAAGTTTGTATCTATATCCTTTAATTCTTTTTTTTAATAAAACATTCAACCTACTCGAAAATATTCAAATAAATCTGTCGATGTAATTTGTTCTCCATTAATTTCTTTAATAAAATTTTCATTATCCAAACGAAAAATTTCTGGTACAAGTTTTAATAATTGATTTTTAAAATCTTCTTCAATATCTTAAAATAAATCATTTAGAATAAGAAAAAAATAAATAATAAATTCGTTTTTTTTTGTTTTTGTTTTCTTCTCACCTACTAATCGTCCATCAAAATCTTTTCGATTTGTTACTTTAAGACCAGGATGTGGCATAAGAAAACAATTAACTTTACGAAAACATTGACGTAATCGTGAACGTACTAATTCAAGATCACGATGTTGATTTTCTCGAATCTAATTTAATTGAATTGAACAAAAAAAAAATAAAATAAAATTCTTTTTGATTTTTTTTTTCTACTTTTAAACGTTCTGATAAAATATCTTCTCCACCACCAAAACCATACGGTGTTTCATATTCAAATTGCCAATCACGTACAAGAAATGTTAATTGCTAGATAAAAATCACAAATAAAAAAAAAAAAAAACTTCAATGTTTTCTTTTTTTTTAAATAACAAACTTGAAAAGGTGACGTATGATAAGCATCAATTGCTAAAACACCATACTCAGCAAAAAATGATAAATGTTGTAAATTATCTTCTTGTAAATTATGCATTATATTATAAACAGTTACACTACTAACAAGTAATGTTAAAGCAAATATAAATGCATTTTCAAATACAGTTGAATTTGAATCAAATGTTCCTTGAGTATCCATAAGAAAGATTGCAACCTATATTTTAATTAATATTTTTGTTTTTTATTTAAGAAAATATTTTATATATATTATACTTCTTCTCCATCTGGTAATGATAAAAGAAATGGTTCACTCCACATAATCATTCCTGTTGTATGTCGAGTAGCACCACCACGCCAATCAAAACCTTTCAAAGGTTCATTTTCTTTTCCAATCCATTCTATATTATTCTAAATTGATTTAACAGATGTTCGTTTTCACAAGATTGAATATTTTTTTTTTTTTTGAAATATATTTAACCTGTGCTCGTAAATAACGAAGAAAAAAGTCAAGTAGAAATGATTTTCCTTTACGAAAATCTCCTGCAATTGATACAAGTGAGATCTATGAAATAATAAAAATTATCAATTAAATTATTATTTAATTTATTTTCTTTTACTTTTTTTCCAATTGCTCGTCTATGAAATAATATTTGTTTTAATTTCTTTTCATCAAGTTCAAATTTATGATCTTCTGTTATACTCACTATTTGTACGGGACCAGCTGATGAGGATTGCTCCATAAGTAAATAATAGATATTAAATCTGCAGATAAATGAAAAATAAAATGAAAAAACCTCGTGTATAGTAATAAAACTAGATAAAATATAGCATCGTATTGTTTTTTTTTTCATCTTGAAAACATCAGACTAGTCCTGTGATTCATTCAACCAATAGCGAAAAATTACATTGTATATACGCATGAAAGCATAACATTCTCTTGAATATGGCCATTTTTAGTAACAAAGATAAATAGAAAATACGATTGAATGTAATTTGTTTATTTAAATTGGGTGAAATTAAATAGAATATCTATTTTTCGTTTGATGATTTATTATCCAATCAAAATAATTTTTACTACCTTAATGGAGGTCTAGACTAAGCAACAAAAAAAGACATTAAAAAAAATCGGATTGTTAAACACAAGAAGTTTTTTTTTTTTTTTTGTTTGAGCTTAAAAATGATTCAAAGCAAAGAGCAGCAAGGTAATCAGTTTATCTGTTAATCTATTTTTTTTCTTCTTTTTTTAAAATACACTTGAGTTTATTCATATGTAACGAAGTCCGACAATAAACTTAACAGATTTAATTCATTTCGATTGAAATCGATTAGTAAAGAATTATTTGAGAATATAATTTTTTATCAATATAAAAAATTCATTTATTTTTTTTGCTTTAATTCATTTTTAAGCAAAAAAAACAATACATGATGCTGTTCGTGCAAATAATGTTAAAGAACTTGAATTAATTGTTGGACATGGTGCAAGTGTTAATGATGTTGATGTACATTGTGATGATAGATTTACACCATTACATTGGGCAGCTCATTCTGGAAGTCTTGAAGTATTTGAAAAAGATATTTTCATATTTTTTTTGTAATTATGTTCTTTACTTTTGTTTGTTTTTTTTGAAAGTGTATGCATTGGCTTTTATGGCAATCAGCTGATATGGATGCACAAACACCGAAAGGATGGACACCAGCTCATATTGCTTCGATTCGAGGACATGATGCATGTATGCAAGTAAGAACATCTTTATCGAATTTGTTTATCTATTGAATATAAGAGTGTTAGCTACATAATATCACAAAAATAGAAATATCTCAATAGTGAAGATATGATTAGCCTTTACATGGAGAAGCTGAAGGATCAATATGAAATTGTTCCTTCAGACAAGAATATTTCAACGTAGAAAGCAAATTTTAGAATCTTAGACTTCTTATTTGATAGATCAAGATTATCTCTATCATCAATAAAAATTTCATGTCAAATAATTTTTGGTTTGCCTAGTTTTCTTTTAGTAATCTCCAAATGAGTGATGATGGAAATTCTCGACAAGTGACCGATATCTTCGACTAATTTGAATCATTAGCTTTAATATTTTTTTCTAATGAGTGCTCCACTCTAATACAGTTTTCTTCTGGAAAATTGACTTCGGGAAGGCAATTTTTTGGAGTCAGATCTTGCTGATAACTTCATCGTAAATAAAGTCTTTGGCATGGAATCTATTTTAAGATTCTTAAATTTTTCTCTAATCAGATTAGAGATTTATTAGTTAATCATGTATTAATTAATTAGCTGATCACATTTGATTAGAGCGGAACTGAAAGTACGATTGATAGACCTTCCAAAATAGCAAAAAAAAAATTTCGAGTTGTTTTTCAAGTTGTCATGTTCAAGCTAAACTGAATTAGATTCAGTTACGAATGATAAATTTAAGGATTCGAATACGAGTGTCAGTGAAGTTGAAGAATAAATCTCTTTAAATGTCAAATAAATAATTTCTAAATTTCCATTACCCAACGTTCCGATTTGTAAGTTCTCGGGTCTGGCAACTCTGACTAATAGAGCTAAAAATTTTAAAATTTATTGATACGAAAACAAGTTCTTTAGAAAAAAAATAGTCCTTATGAAAAATCAAAGATAATAATGTCTCCGATTTGCTAATTTTGCTCATATGTATTTTTCTTAGGCTCTGATCAATAATAATGTTAATATAAATGCACGTGATCGTCGTAATCAAACATGTCTTCACATGGCTTGTGCACATGGAAATTCTTTTGTTGTACATACTCTTTTACGTGGAGGTGCTGTAAGTTTTTTCTTATTAGATCATTCTTCAATAGTAATCATTTATCATATTTATATACTAAAAGGACCTCAATCATCAAGATGTTAATGGATGGACACCTGCTTATACTGCAGCTTATCATGGAAGACTTGGATGTTTACAAATGTTAGTTAAATGGGGTGGTAAATTAGATGAAGTTGATAATGAAGGAAATACAGCAGGTAAAAGTTTTTGAATTCTATAAACATAGAGAAAAACTTTCATTTGAAAATTCACAAATACTGTTTTGTATAGCAACTCGTGTTGCATCGAATGATATCAATGACATTGCTTTTTCACATTCTTAGAAGTCATATAACACAAAAACTAATCTTTACAATAGCTCATTCACACATATCAATTTAGAATTGATATAATTATACAACTTAGTGATCTGAGAAAATTGTAGTTGTCCACCTTTGTCCTTAGGAGCACTAAAAAAGAATTTAAAATAGCATAAAAGTGAATAATTACAGAAGCTAGTAAAATGAAGTAGTTTTAAGCAAAATTTGATGTAGATTGATTTCGAGACATATTTAGTTATAAAAACAATTTGGTGAAAAATATAGACCATTCGATGTGTCACGAATAGAGTCCTGCACGGGTACTACTTTTCGCACCCGGACCCGGCCCGGCTCATTTTTTTCAAACCCGGAATCTGACCGGACCCGGTCATCTTCCACCCGGAACCGAACCGGACCCGGATAGCTCTACCCGGTACCCGACCGGACCCGGCCCAGCCTTGAAATAGTCAGCACTTGATTGTTATTGTCAAAATTATATTCACTTTTCAAACTTTTATTTCATATGGCAAAATATACTATTATTTTAATTTCATCAAGTAACAATTTGTACCCGGACCACAGTTCCGGGTCCGATCGGGTGCCGGGTATCCGGCCCCGTTGCAGGACTCTATCCTAGAGTGTAAAATACTTTTACTTGTTAAGATGTCATCGACTACCGGTCGGGTACCGGGTATGCTCAAATCCTGCACCCGACCCGGCATTTTTTTTTATACCCGGCACCCGAACCGACCCGGCAAATTTGTACCCGGACCACAGTTTCGGGTCCGGTCGGGTGCCGGGTACCCGACCCCGTTGCAGGACTCTAGTCACGAATTGCTCTAGAAAGATGATCATCTTATCCGACAGGATTCTTTCATATTTCTCTTCAAGATTTTTTTATAAATAGAGTTTTAAAACAATATATTTTAGCTCATCTTGCTGCAATGGAAGGTCATTTACCATGTTTAAAATTTATTGTATCAGTTAGTAAAGACACAGCAACAATATTAGGAGCTCGTAATGATCAAGGTGATACACCAAAATCTTTAGCTGAACAATTTTATAAAGAAAATTGTTGTACATATCTTGATGCACTTGAATGGGAAAAAGATCATCCTGAACAAGCCGAAAGTAAAAAACTAAATTGATTATTTCAATTTAAAAACACACACACATAATCAAAACTTTTATTTTAAGATCTTGCTTTTCCAGCACATGTTGCTGCATATAATGGAGATTTAGAACATGTTAAATTATTAGTTGAACAAGGTGTTGTTAATATAAACGAACGTGATGAACGTGGAGCAACATTAGCACATAAAGCAGCTGGTCAAGGACATATTGATATATTACGATGGTTAATTGAAATGGGTGCATCTATGGATTTAACAACACAAAGTGGTGAAACACCAAAAGATGTAGCAAGACGTTTTGGACAATTAGGTTGTTTGAAATTAATTGGTGGAGGAACTGAAAAAATTGAAACAAGTACAAATCAACAACATCATCAACATCATCATCATCAAAATGAATCTAATCGACGAAAATTAACAGCAAAAGAAGAAGAACTTAATCGTGCAAAACAAAAATATGATGAATTACAAAAACAATTTGATATAGCAAAAAAAAATTTTCGTCAATTAGGTGGACAATTAGAAGATGATAATAAACGAGATATAGTTGAACATGAATCACAAAAGTATACTTTTATTTAAAAAAAAAAACAAGTATTTTCTTTTTTTGTTTGTTTTAGAAAAATTGAAGAATTTGAAACTCAATTAGAATTTGAAAGATTAAAACGAGAAAAACTGGAATCAGAATTAGATGAATGTCGACATGAAATTGCACGTTTAATTAATACATTACGAGCATATGAAGAGAAACGATTACATACACGTGTAAGATTTTTAAAACTAAAGACAAAATAGTTTTTGTTTTTTTTAGAATTAACCTTTTCACATATGTTTTTGGTTTTTTTTGATTATTTTAGCATCGACCACCATCAAGTGAAATTCGTCAACATAAACATAAAAAACCATCATCAGCTTCAAACAAACAATCACGACGAATAGAAAAAGAAACAGGCCTTACATTTATGCGTAGAAATTCTGTTAATTCTTAATCAATTTTTTCATTTTCTGCTGTAATATAGAAAAAATTATTAAAAGTTACTCTTGTCGGAGTTGAATATTTTGACATTGGGGTTGTTAATCAAACGAATTATTTTAATTCTGTATCTATTACTTTTAATAAAATATGCGACAGATGGATTAATCATCCAATTTTGGATGATTTCAGCTTCTCAAAAAGATTTCAATTTCACTGTTTTGTGAATGATCATCTATCAATAATAGAGTTTCTTTTTTAAATTTTTTTCATAAAAATATACAAGATACTTTGGATAAACTATGTTGCATGTCTGTTCGTACCACCGCTAGAGTCCATCGGGGAGCAACCATTGGTATATCACGATAGGATGATGGTCAAAAGATAGCCGATCGATTGTTGGCATACTGCTGGTTCTTTTGTCATTGTCAGTATAGCAAATATTACATCGAGCTGTCTATCGTTACTTTTCGCATGAGAATCTTGATTTCATTGTCATGTGTACTTTGAGAAGTTTTTCGATAATATGACATTCGTTGCTTCTTATGTTGATTCGTATGAAACAGTATTATTATCTTTTGCTTCATTAAATTAATGAAATGAATAAAAAGTTGTGTAGAAAAATGAACATTGAAAATAGTAGCGAAAAGTTCAAGAGCTTTATATATGATTCTACTCAAAATATTTGTTCATTATAACAAATTAAGAGTGTTATATTTAATTTCAAGAAAAAAAGTCTATTTGGCAAAACGCAAGATAATCTTTGATGGTAATAAGTTTGTATTCTTCATACAATGTTGTAGGCCAAATTAGAATTCAACTGAAGATTGATTCATACAATTAGACACGCACCGAACTCGAATCTTTAGGTTCGGTCTGGACACTGATCATTTTCATTTAATAAAAGGAAACTGAAGCAAACGAAAACAATGAATTTCGGGCTTGCCTATGTTAGATCTATATAAAGTGAAATAAATGATCCAAAAACCGAAGGATTACCGGCATATTAATCAAACTGAACAATGTTCAGAAATACTCGAGCTTGAATTTAACCGAACCTAAGGGTGTTTCTATGATTGTTTGTGTATTTCAAGAAACGCTTGGACAATTAATCAAATATTCGTCATTGTTTGGATAGTTTTCAAACATCGAAACAAAGTTTGAGTTCGACGCATACCTACATACAATCAAAATAATTAAAACTTGAATGGAATTACTATATTTTTACACAAACATTGGTTTTCTTTTTAGCGTTCTTATATTTCCAATTCCAAGTATGATCTATGGTTGAATCTGATGCATATATTGTCTATTGGCACGACTGTTACAATTACAGTTTTATCGTTTTTGATTGATTCTACTCTATTTTTAGTACAATACGTAATTGTAACAATCTATCTTAATTCGAATTGTAACTTTGCCTACAAAATAAATATACGATCGAATACGACATCTATTGACACTATTAGCAACACATCAGAAACGAATGAAGACCTTTTTTTTCATAAATTCTTGTTCGTTATTGACTTTATCCATTCATCAATGATTCTTATATAACTAATAAATGAATATGAATATTTTTATGTTTTACAATGGCTTATTAAATGATATCGTGGACTTTCAATTTACACTTATTCAAAATTACCAAATAGTAGATTCTGCAAAATAGTATTTCAATATTCATCAATTTGACTTCTATCGTATTATTAAAAGATTCGAAAATTTGTTTACTTGTATTAGATAAATCGATCTATTCTAGAATGTTCTCTATATGTAATATCTGCATAATGTTAGAAAATCTCAAATTAATTAAAACTACTAGAATGAGTTAGCATGAATATGAATTTGATATCAAAAAAAGTTTCTATAATAGAAGTACGAACTTCAAAGTTATTGTTTGAGTCTATCATTCTACTGACAATATTTGCTCAGTAATAGTTTAGTTTTTTTTTACCCCAACAGGAAAGAAAAAGAGGAAGAAAAAATGCATCCATCATAATGATAATACATATTTACCTGGAGATATATATATATATGAAGACAAGAGCATCTTTTCATTGATTTGCAAAATATATTACAGATTTTTTTTCTTTTTAAACAATGACCAGTGTTCCAAAACATCTTAAATCAGGTATATATAATAGAAAAAAAAATTATCTAATAATTATATTTATTTTTAAATAGGTTCAACATGTCCACCATTAAAAGAAAATCAATTACGATTATATGGTATGCGTTTTTGTCCATTTGTTCAACGAGCTAAACTTGTTTTAGCTGCTAAAAATATTCCGTAAGTTCATTATATATTTCTTTTGTTAATGACATATTTCGAATTATTACAGATATGAAGAAATAAATATTAATCTTGTTGAAAAACCAGAATGGTATTTAGAAAAAAATTCACCTGGTCAAGTTCCATCATTAGAATGGATTGATAATGATACAAAAGAAGTTCGATTTATTCCTGAATCACTTGTTGTTAGTGATTATCTTGATGAAATAAAATCTGAAAATCGTTTACAACCAAATGATTCATATGCTAAAGCTAAACAACGTATATTAGTTGAAAGATTTAATAATGTAAATATAATTTTTTATTTCATATATACAAATTTACTTTTTTTTCAACTATGTTTTTTTTTACTTCAGGTTACAACTCCTTTTTATAAAGTTCTTCGATCAGGTGGTAAAGAAGGTTCTGAAGATTTAAATGAAGGTTTAAGCATATATGAAAATGCACTTAAAGATACATTTTTTGGTGGATCAAAACCAGCTATGGTTGATTATATGTTATGGCCATGGTTTGAACGTTTACCATTATTAAACGATGTTGGTTATCAATTTAATAATGATGGTAAATTACCTAAACTTGCTGCATGGATTAAAGCAATGGAAGCAGATAAAAATGTTCAACAAGTTAAAGTTCCTATTGAAATAACAAGAAAATATATGAATGGTTATATACAAGGAAAACCAGAATATGATTTTGAATAGACTTAGTTTTTATTTAATCATTAGAAATAAATTTTTTTTGTTTTTTTTGTTTTTTTGAATAACTTATATATTCAGTATTGATCTAGAAAAATAATAAAAAGGAAAACAATCAGTGATTATTGAATAATTCTTCTTATGTTTTTAGACATCATTTTGTTTTAATTGTTTGTTGTTTTTTTTTTGTCAAAAGATTAATATCTCATGTTAAGAATTATTCATTTTCGTCCATTTTTGTTGAATACATTCGTTAGAAAAACACGTCAATTAACTGGTAAAAAAAAACAAAAATTAGATTAATAGTTAATAGAAAGATTTGAAAAAGTTTTTTCTTATTTATATTCAGTATTATATCGTCCATTGTCTGCAGAAACATTACCAATACATCATGATATTGATGAATATAATCATCGTTTTGAAATAGCTGCACCACATTATGAACTTCTTGAGGGTAGATTTTTCTTTTTTTTTTTTGCTTTGTCTAATTTTAAAATTTATCACAAATTTTCTTAGTACTCAATCATCGTTCATCACAATTACAAACTTTTATTAAATCTACTCGTTCATCTCGAACATCTTCTCCATCATCAGATCGATCAATAACTAAGACTAATATTCGACAACGATCTAATACGAAACGAAAAATTCAAAACAATATTAATATTGAATCAGATTCTATTAAGAAAGAACAAGTAAAATTTGTTTTTCTTTTATTATATCAATATTTTTCTTTTTAAAGCCTATTGAATTAGCTCGACCAAAATCGAATAAAACAAAAGAAAAAAAGAAGAAAGAAAAAATAAGTGAGTAGAAAAATTTTAGCATAATTTCTTCATTACAATCCTAACATATCCTGAAAGCAGAGATGTCCATGGCGGCGCGGCAGCGGCAGCATTTTTTTTTCGAGGACATTGAAAAACTGCATGAATTTAATAGAATTTCATTGTTTACAAATGAAACACACCGAGACTGAATGAATCTGATGGACTAGTACCAATATTTCTGGTCCAATACAGTTGCAGCAGTGAAAATCGAAACACTTTTTTGAAAACCATCGCGGCAGCGGCAAGTTTATTACTCATCGCGGCGCGGCAGCGGCGCGGTAACTTTTTTTTTCTAATGCCGCGGCGCGGCAGCGGCAGCGTTTCAGCCGCGATGGACATCTCTGCCTGAAAGGGACAAGAACGTAATGTTAATTTTTACATAGCTGATCAAAAGATTTTTGAAACCAGCAACCCCCCCATGGAAGGTAGAGTCTGTCGGATTTGGACTTCGATCTGTAAACTTTGTGTGTCAGCTGTACTCAAGCTAACATGCGAAATATCATCAGGCATCATATCTTATTGCCGAACGAATAAAACAAGTCAATTTTTTGTTTTCAGAGCAGAAAAATGTCTTTATCCGCCTTTCTTCTTTCACAGGACTTTTAAAGAATTTTTTTTAACGCAGAGTATATGTAGTAAACTCTAATAAATGATGATCGAAAGGCCATTTTCGAAACTCGAAAAGTTTTTGTAATCATATCTTTATGTGATTTTTTTTCAGTTGTGCCATCATCTCCTTCTCCTCTACCAATCCCACCAAATCGAATAAATGAATTAAGTATAAAACTTACTCGTACCACATCTATTGATGAAAATCAACTATCAACAATATCTTCTAATAATTTACATGATGAAACTTCAATAGTTGAAGAAGAACAAGAAGATTTACAATCAAATGAAACATTACTTCCACCATCTGAAGAAGAAATAACATTTAATGATGATGATAAAACATTAAATGATTTATTAAGTAGTTTACATTCTACTAAAGTTCGTCGTTTACATAAATATACAGATGAACAAATTAAATTTATGCATGCACATAATGAATTTAATCGTATGTTACAAGCTTATGTAGATGTATCAATATCTAATGGAAAAGTTTGTTTGATTTTTTGATAAATTTCCTTTTTTGATTTTATTATTATTTTATATAGTTAAATCAAGCTTATCGTTTACTTGATGAATTATTAGCTGATCA